GATCTTGCAAGATCCTTGCGGGGGGGGGGGGGGCTATGCCATACTCACTGTCTTTAGCACCTTCCATTCTGTGCCCGTTTTCCACGAGGGCTTAATCTAATCTAACAAAGTATTCCTCCAAGGCTCTTAAGATCCCCACCCCCCAGTGCTGCCCTCATTCGCCCCCCCCCCCACCCCCATATGAAAAGAAAATGACTTCCATGTCGCTTCGAAGTCTCTGTATGCTGACAGGTTCACTTGAAGGACGAAACATGTTACTTATTCATCTTGCTGTGTATCAGGCGGCCGGGGGGGGGGCTTCTTTATAGAGCCGTGTTCTGTTTTATTTTATTTCTTGGTTTAGACCCTGTGTGCCAAGTTCATTTCACCTCACTGGTGCCCGCGCCCCCAAAGTGCCCCCATCCCCCCAAACGTGTGACATGCACCCACCTCACTGCGTGCGCCCCTGCAGGTCCCACCCCGAAGCCCCATGGCAGCTCCCCCCTCACCTCTGCTCCGATGGTCGCCCCGTAGACTTACCCCAAAAACATATTGGAAACATACATTTCACTCAAGTTAAAGCACCAAGCCAAACTCCCAGAGGCTCCGCCCATCTTCTTTTTAAAAATCGAAGGAAAATCTATTACAACAACAGCGCAAGCAATGATAATCCACCTATCAATTACTTATCCGGCAGGGGATCAGGGACGCCCTGGGGCATGTTCCAAGTAGCACAGGGCACAGAGCAGGAGACGTGATGAATGACATGCCAGACCATCACTCTACAGTGTCAACACCACCAACAATAACATTAACAATAATCATGAATTATACCTGTAGTAAATAAACAGCACAGAAATTGTTTAAGACATTCAGAAAAGAAACTGGGAACTAGTCATTGACTTCTAATGAAGTATGCACGTTTGTCTCCTTTTGAGGGTATGGGTTTATTAGATTTAACAGCTTGCGAGAGGTGTTTGAGTAAGTTGTCGATCTTTTATGAAAATAACTGAAAGCAAGATCAATAAAGACAGTATCCAATCGTTGTGGCAGAAGTGCTTTCTGGATCCTGTCAGGAAAGAAGGACGATCGGTGCCTCCTAAGCATGAGGACGGTGTGAGCTAGCCTCACGGGGGCCGTCGTGCACGCTCGTCTGCCGTTTGCACGTGCTCGTGTTGGGAGGCACTCTGCAGGCCAGAAAGGGGGGGGTGAGTCTCTCGATGTGATAACTGCACAGGCCGTCACCTTCACACTCGTTCGATCGACCTTCCTGTAAATAGAGGAACTTTGCCCCTGTGTTTGTGCCCATTTCAGCTTCGCACCCTTGCTCTGTGGGGAAGAGGTGAGAGGGAAGCGGAGAAAGCACCCAAGGCTAAGTGCTGCTGAGCAGGGAGGGGGCGCTTCTCGGCCCTCCGGTGGTGCGCCCCTCACCCCAGTGTCCGCGTGGACTGCTGAAAATGGGGAAATGCTCAAAGCGATAGTTTGCTGTGTCTGTGTGTTTGTGTGTGTGTGTGTGTTACTCTGACTCTCTCTTTGTCTGCCTCCCCTCCCCCCCCCCAGGCCTATGCCAGATCATCAACAAAATGATATACCGACCAGCAGATATACACAACTTTCTACTGCCCACCGACTGTCCCCATATCTTGCTGCCTTATTTTTCTCTACCACACAACACTTGCTGACCTCCTACAAACTGACCATACAAGCATGCTTCCTTTTTTAGCCAGGGGAATAAGGAAAAGTACTTTATAACCACAAGGTTGTTGGTTCAAATCCCAAAAAGGCAGTGCTATTGTACCCATAAGTGAGGTCGTTTAATTACCCCAGTAAAATATAAAACAGGCTAAAGTGTCGACTAAGCAAGATAATAATAGCAGTTCCAAGGCTTTAATGAGAGATAGGTTGCCATCGAGGCCCAACCCAGATTCCGAATCTGACCACAAAAGATTTTTGCCATACATGAATATTTCAGATACATGAACATTTACTGGAATGCACGAAATGCATTGTGCTGTCATTAAAAACAATAATAAAAACAACTGGAATCCAGCAGCTACACTGCTTGGACCCTTAGTGATGTGACAGGCCTACAATGTAAAATGAAAATAACCCATAAATTTAAACATTCAAGAAATAAAAAGGCACTCCTCACAAAACATCAATATTCGTCAGAAACAACACGATTAGGCCTATTTCACTGCATATCTTGTAGAAAATATTCATGGATAATCATTTATTGCGATCAAGTTTAGTAGTTAGAACAAGAAATGTTTTACTAATGTACACTGAGGGTGTTCGATGACCCGTTTTTCGAAATGTCAACTTTGCGTATAAATGCATAAATAAATTGTAAATAAAACATTTTTAAAATGGACTTGTGCGGTTTTCCACGGCTCACAATAAATCCATATAACGGATATGTTGGGTTAAGCACCCGGTGCCCAACATTGAAAGTTATTTTTGATACTTGTGACTGTAACCGTGTTTTCGGTGTTCAGTTTTCTTTTGTCTCAGGCTTGTATTTGTTATACAGTCAGATAGAAACCATTTTACACATTTTATAACTGGCCAATATTGCTGGTCTTTCTGCATGAATTTTTTCAAAAGGTAAATTTAATCGCTATGATTATGTGATCGATTTCAATAATTACTCACTAAGAACGCTATCGCTGTGTGAATATCTAAGTTTTAAAAAGCACATTGCATGCTTTTTGCGGTGTTGGATTAAAACAATATCTAATTTTAGGATACATTTTGCCTAAATTGTGAATTGGATTATACTGACCGACAGGCCTATGTAACATTTATTCTAATATTATTCTCTATTCGACTGTCGAATTTAGTTACCAATAATGTAACGCACATTTACCGAGTATTATGAGAACGCTTGTTTATTAAACAGTTTTCACATACATTTTTAACGCATTTAATTAACACCCAAATCATCCTGATACCCGGAACTTATATATGAATACTCACGAAAAAAACCACATACGAAATGAATAACTAAAAAGAATTAAACGAATACATTTCGTAAACTTGCAGTGTGTAAAACGGGCTGAAAAAATAGAGCGACATCAAAAGAGTTTAGAGGACTTCCCAGATGATTGCGGCGACAACGTGATACATCAACAAAGATTGGGTTCATACCGTCCCACATTATTTGCGGCATTAGGCGATTAAAAATCTTTTGACTAAGACAGTTCTGGTAAAAAGAGAGTTGAATGACCCACGCTTTGTTTTGTTTTTGCGTGTTGCTTTGTTTAGGAGGGCGGTCGCACTTCCTATTAGTTTAGTGCCTTCGGAAAATTGCTCATGACGCTAATCTAACTTAGAGCTTGTAAGACAGATACATTAGACGTCGTTGCTTCCCCTTGGTCCGATTTGTTTTTTGTTTTGCGCATTTTAAAGGAATATCTAACTACAGTTTTATAGCCATGTAGCCTACTTTGATACACTTCTGTACTTTATATTTATACTTAATCTGATTAAAGCCAAGTGTAAATCGCACATGTGCATAACACATGATAATCTTTAGACCTCTTGACTAAGATGCCACCTCTGTCATAACTCAGTTCCACCACTGTTAACGTTTCCGTGGGATCCGTACACATCCGTACAATAAGAGATTACACTTTCAGAGGGAAAAGCGCGGACACTCGAAAACTTTCGTGACCTGAAAGAGTGTTTCTGAACCCCGTCACCTTTCCCAGTAAAGTTAGAAGCAGCCGCGCTTACCCTGGTTTCTCTTGGGGTTCGCCTGTTTCCTCCGCTTGCCCCGGCTCTCTTCTGCCATCGTGGACCCCGTTAGCTATCCGGGAGGTAAGCGCTCGGGCGTAAGGGTTTGAGGAGATGCCGGGATGGTGCTCCACATTGCAGCCGCCCACCCCGGGTGACTGTGAGAACCCAGCCTCAACCCCGACTCTGAGAGCCGTAGGAGAAGTGATGTCATCAGGGGCTGGTCTAGTCCCTTCTACCCAGTCGAGGGTGAGATAAGTCTAACGTGGACTCTTGAATGTGTCAATACATTTCTGGTCACTTATAAGCACTGTTTACCATCGCAACCTATAATATTTAAAAAACTGTAGTGTGGCACTGGCGACGCAAATAAGATATGTGATTATATAATTTGTAAAACGTATGGGATGAATAATTCTTGTCAAGTTTCATTCTGTTACTACACGGTTTTCTTTACCTGTCCACGCAACGTGTGTCAAGGCAAAACGAGACTTCTTCTCGCTACATACTTGCATAACCTATGGATGAAAATCAAGTGACCTGATTTAACGATGACCTTATTTTGTCGTCCCTATATCGGACACGCGGCTGGAAGACGAAACAGTGGATTAATTTGCCTTCAAATATTACTTTTGCTAATGATCTTTTCTCAAATATAAACATACAATATATCCGCAAGTTTCCTTACAGTATTTCATTGCATTGTATAGTTTAGGCGCTCATTAGAGTAACTAAATGCGTTACGCTAGGCTGTTTCGCAGCTGTACATCAAAGTAAAACGTGTGCTTAATTTTTAACACATTTACGTCCATAAATAGGCCTATCCATACTATTTTTCCCGGCTATACCAATTTCGCCAGGAATATACATTAGGTTGTTTAACTAGCTATAATCACTTTTTTTCTCCGTGATTTCTTGACAGAGGTAAGCATTATTTTTTAGTCTCAATTTTGCATACCGTAAAATTATTTCCAAAACTAGTTTTAAAATAATTCAATGACAATTCATGTCACGAAATCGAAATTCTTTAACATACTGACGTATATTTCTTGTTGGTGCCTTGCTCACGTGACCGTTTAAAAGTTTTACCTCTTTAATGACTTAAATGAAAAATTTCCCGGTCACTCGCACATTAAACTATTACGTTCATTTTAATATCATTCTTTAAAGGGCTATATTTCATTACGTTTCAGTGGCGAGAAAAATTCTCACATTTGCGATGTAAGAAAACTGGAAAAAAACAAGAAATGCAAATACCCACTAATCGGCGAAGTACCTAACAGTGAAAACGAACAATATTTTACTGACTTCGGGAGATGCGTCGCACCTGTGTCACCCCCCCCCCCCCCCCCCCCCCTCCGCACAGTTGGACTTTCTCTCCTCGATAGCTGTAGGAAATGCTGAATATGCAATCCTTTGTATTTCAGAATACGTCCTAATCTGTTTTGCAAGTGAAAAAAAACATCCGCAGAAGCCCTAACGCGTCCCCCCAGGACCCCTGCATTGACGTTTAACGCTGGCTCCTGAACCCCTTTTCTCCCCGTCAATCCGATCCATTCCGATCAATTATGTGACAATGTACCGAGCGGTTAAATCTTAGTGGCGTTATTTTCACACACGTCGAAATGTTTCAATTTGCATTAAAACGAACGCTATCAAACGCTAACAAAAATCTAACGAGCAAAAAAATGCGTTATAGTAATTATAAAATTGTAATGCTGTAATTAAACGATTGCAGTTGCATCACTGAAAGTTTCTTTAATACCTATTTGCCTGGCCCCTTTCCAGCCTTCCAAAGCAAAGGAAATGGGTTCGTAATTTTCCTGGAAAATTACTTAATCAGACGCCGTGATGTTTTCCAAGAAGGTGCTAATCGACACCATAAACTTTCGCTTAAAAGTGGGTGAGAGGCTAAAATTATAAATTCTAATTCGCAGTCAGATGTATTTTATTTTAATGTTGACACACACAAACACGCATGATGTGCCCAATAATAATAATAATAATAATAATAATAATAATAATAATAATAATAATAATAATAATAATCTCTACGGTGTGTTTCTTTCGCTTGCTTCCAGGCGAATACAGGCGGCGAATCCCACAATTAAAATGAAGAGGACAGTTAAAATATGAATGAATATATGTGGGCGTTTGTCCAAAACCCCGATGCCTTAATGTTTAGAAAACCTTTTTTTTCCCTGAATATTTCGAAAAATACAACGCCTAATCTAATTTAGAATTTAATAGCCTTTATTTTAAAAAACTAATATTAAAGAAAAGGACCGGTAGGCCTAGTGGCGCTTAAAAAAACCCACAGCAAAACTGTGATTTTCCCCTTGCTTAGGCTGGTGACCCATTCAGCGCACGAGCTCAATATGATCAGCAATAAATTGGTAAACTATGAAATAAATCTCACCCAAACTTAACCTGCATTTAATTATCCATGTCGTCATATTCAGTTTTAAATGATTGTATTTTTTTACAGAAAAATATGAGGTTGATAGTTTTTTCTTTCGAAATGACCATTTCTTTTGTTGTGCACGGAGTGAAATTGTTTGTTCCCGTAACACATTACAGCAAATGTATCGTTATGTGCGCATCCATCTATTGCTAAAAGGCTCATGCAGGCATGCGAATTCTTACAAACAGCAACATCACCCCATTTAATATCAAACGTTTGGATGAACCTCTCCGACAGCTCATATATTTTTTAAAAATAAGCCAAGGCTAACTCTTTTTCGGATGTATACTACGGAACTTTGCACCGGATTCTTCTACTAGTGCGAAATTTGACTTTGGTATATAAATGAATGAATAAACAAACAAACTAACTAACAAAGCTTTGATTGCTTTCTGGCGCTTGAACATGCCGCCACCACCAGCACACCCGAAGTAATCTCCCTCACGATAAAGCAAAGAACGGGCTACAGATTATTATGGGTGAAAACTAGAGACTCTCACTCTGCGCTGTTTATTGTTATGTCTTTGATTTTTTTATATATACTCAGGTCGCCTTCTTATATACTTTTTTTTTTTTAAATCTCTGCTCCTGGCTAGGTAAAGGCGGATACATGAATAAATAAACGATGAAGACCTTAGGTGTCCGCGCGTGTAGGGGGGCGGGGGGCAATGAGGTCACGGTCTTCAGATAAGGCGGAAGGGGGTTAGGTTAATACAACGAGAGCCAGCTGCGAGTCCGGGGTTGGGTTTATCCATTTCTTTTCTCTTTTGATCAAGGAGGTTAGGATTACTTTCCCAGTCAAATTTATATAATACAGTTTCGTGTTAGTTCTTAATTCTGTCCGTTAAAATAACTGGCTACCTGAGTTACGTGGCTTTCTTGATACTCATATTGCGCCAGAATCACAGCTTACAGGCTTTGCAAAGGCATCGGACTAACTCTGGCTTCATTGTAAGCCAAGATTTGTAAACTGAGTTCAAACGAAATTAAAAGAATTGATAATCTTCTGTTTATCGTAAAACGAAAAAGATGGTGATAACAAAAGTTTTTTTTTTCTTACAAACATTCCTATAATGTCCAGTTTTTCAGAGTGAAGAGTACTGGTGGGGACACATTTTTACAAAAGGTACACACACACACACACACACACACACACACACCAGGCAGGTCATCAGAAGCAAGGGGATAGAAGAACACCACCCCACTGAGGTTTTGTTCCTGTCCGTGGTAAAAGGTTCAAAGCAGGGAGCAAGTTGGGGGCGTGGGGAGGGGGGGGGTGCAGGGGAGAAGACCTCTTTAATAGCATATTAAGTAAAAGAGGTAATTATATGCCAACCTTTGTGACAAAGGGAAAGAAAAAAGCTTTCACTTGAAGGGGGGGGGACAGAATAGAAAAAGTCATTATGGCCCCCGAAGTTTTGCATGTGAAAAAGCCTGTTCTGATTTCAGCGTTTCCATTTGTATTCGAATGTGCAGTTGGGCTTAAACCGCAAGGCTGCTGGGAGGCCTCCCTCCTCTCCTCATAGCCTCATAATCGCTGCTATTTATTTATCTTTATTGTTATTAAAAACATATTGTACAATAAGCTCATTCTGTTCCATTCAGGGTCCGCCCCCCTCCAATTTTGCCTGTTCCTGCGTTCCTTCTTAGATGAAAGTGCAGAATAAAAAAGAAAGTTTCGGCGTCCTGACCGATAAGAGATTAACCAAAAATATTTCCTTCCATCCCATTTGGGTGGCACACACTGAAAGGCGTGCGATTCACTAAACGTGAAATATTGGGAGGGACCCGCTGCTGGATTGGTGGATTTAGGAGGTGAACAGGAGAGGAAGACAAAGACACAAACGGCAATGTGAGTTGGGGGGGGTATGGGGTTGATCTTCTTCATTCCAGAGTACTGAGTGTTACCACGGGAAGAAAGGTTGCTTGGGCAATAGGTCTGTTTATAGGCCAAAGTGGGATGTGAGTCAGTCTACAACCAGTGCTGTTCCCGGACAAGGCTGTGGCTATCCTGGGTGGGAAAGGTTGAGGAGATCTGGACCCTGGTGGCATAATATCCAGCACTCACCTGTTTATGGAAGTTGGAAGAGCCAAGAGGAAAAGTAGTATACAGCCCTGGATGGAGAGAATGGAGACGGAGTTTTACGGACGTCCCAAGTGTGGAAAGTTGGAAGACGGCTTACAGTTTAGATCAGGCCTTATCAGGAAACTGCTGCTGTGAAACTGCACACATCCGGTGTCTGTGGCCTCCCTATTGCATGCACAGAATGGGATTGTTCCCAACAACCTTCACCTAAGGTCAGCAAAGTCACTGATGAGTAACCTATAGAAGGGAAACCGGAATGGCAAGAGAAACAAGAACCTGAACTCCTTCCCTTTTACCGCTCAACACTTGCTCATCGTCTCCGTTCTGGGATGTGAGGAGGAAAGCCTGGATGCCCTGTCATCTCAGCATCTGGGGAAAACAGCATCAACTCATCATGGACCGCAAAGATCTGTTTCTTCTCTGTTGTTCTGTGGTAAGTGCACTGCAGACCTCTCAACCCCAAGGAGAATAAACAGAATGATGTCACCCTGAGGTCCAGCAGGAGTTTTTTTCTCAGCACCTGCACCACCTGAGGTCAGGGTTCAGTCTTCAGAGTTACCAGTAGTCTGGATGAATACTAAACAGCACTGACCTGATCCTACTTTCACATCACTTTATACTAGTGTGACATTGCATATACAGGCCAAAACAGGCGCCATGGCACACCAGGGCATGCTGGGAAATGTAGTGCTTCTTTTCTTAAAGACTCATTGGAAGGCCTAAACTCACTAATTTTATTACACAGTCACAGATCATATATGCTTCATTATAACAGTATAAAAGTATTGGGCAAGAGATTTCTATAAGAAGTCACAAAAAATAACAGCGGTCAAACTGATTAAATGTGACTGGATAAAGTTTTTTGTTATATATGCCTAGCCTTCAAATGCCAAAAATGATGCAAATACATCAATACATCCATCTTCCAACTGCTTATCCCGGTCAATTATAGTAATTATATGTTTAACGGCCATTAACACTCGGTAGCATCAACATAAAATTCAAGCAGAACGGGTGCCAGTCCCCGCTATCCCTGCTACCCACAGCAGTGAAAATGATTTTAAAATGTAGGGGTGTGAGTTCATTCATTTTCAGCAGTGACCTCTAGCGGTCATTTATATTTTAAGCAATGAAAGTAAACTACGATAGACCTGCGAGAACATACAGTGCAAGTCAAAAGTTTGAACACACACACACTCATAGAAAGGTTTATTTGTACTATTCTCTACGTTTTAGAATAATTATAAGGATATCAAAACTATAAAATAACATATATGGAATTGTATATTGTCCCAAAAAGTATTAAACAAAAAAAGAAATTAATTTGCTGGGGGGCAGCTCTGTGGGTTGGGACTCAGAAGGTTGCCAGTTCAAATCGCTGGGTCCACAGAGTGATGCCACCACTGGGCCCTTAAGGCGCTTAATCCCAGTTGCTCCAGGGACTGGCTGACCCTACTGTCTCCTATATGCCAGTTTCACGGATGCGTTTCCAGTTGAGCTCTCATTGGCTGCTTTTCCTTCACTTTCTGGTCAAGCTCCTCCCAAACCATCTCCACTGGGCATCATTTAACACATTATTATCGAAACTTTTGTTACGGTATTTTAAAAACCTTTCTTTGAGGTTATTATAAATGGACAATTTTAGCTACAATGCACCTGGGAGGGTTTTCCTCACCATGTCAGAAAGTGCTGCTTTGTGTAAGTTGAGAGCTGGAGTAGATCTTGGGCTGTTTCTTTTTGATTATCTCAGTATTTTAGTACCAGGTTAGTGAGATGGCAGGAAATTAAATTATCACACTTGGCTTCTGTGTATGATGAAGCGAAACCTCATCGTCGTATTCTGAGTCTGTGATCAAGCAGGTCTAGCATTTAAAAATACTAACACAGACATCCACACACAGTAAGACATGCGCACACACATGCAGAGGACTGAGAACAGAGCAAAAACGAAAACAGATAAGGAACACAAAGTTTTGGAAATTTCAGCTTCATCGAAAAAGAAAGCACGGGGACGCCCCTGCAAAATTCTACTTTTTCGGTTTTAGAATCTCTCAAAAGCTGTCAGGACCGAAAGCTATAATCTATGCAAATCTATATAAGTGCAGGCACATAGAGGTTGGCACCAGCGGGCACACGGCAAAGAAAAGGCAACGTACACCAGTATTTAGCATCCATCGCAGACTGAAAAAAAAAAACGTTTATTTATGAACCATTCATCCATTTTCTGTAACCGCTTATCCTATTCAGGGTGACGGCCATTTATAAACCAGTAAAATATAATACATTTAGTATAAAAACATAGAAAATGGTAGGAAAAAATATATATCACTTGGCTTTCCTGTATAGATGTAGTATATGCTACTTAGGTTGTTTATGTTATGGTACATAATGGTTTTTTTGCCAGCAAAACAAAAGTTTGAGTGGACAGTAAAAGATATGAAAACACACATAGACAAATACTCTAAAGCAAGGATTATAGTAATACAAAGGAACAGCCTTTAATACATGACATTTATCAAATGCTATCCAACGGCATTTCAAAACATTGCTTTTTTAACGCACATTGTAATTAAAATGTACTTCAATGATTCACGTGCTTTATTTCCTGCTAAGGTTCAATTAAGGTGATCTTTGGCTGGCCAGGAACAGGAAGATTTTTGTAACATAGGTTGTATTTACCCTGGTGATGTCACTGAAACGGGGTTGTGCGGCTGACGAGCTTCGGACCTATGGAATCATTTTTAAAGGCTGTGGCTGTTTTCAGTGGTGAAGCAGAACATGTTTTAAATCCTGAGTAAATTCACAGTTCTACTTCCGGCCATCTCGCACAGGAAAAAACCGGCGAGTCGGTATGCTGGCTAACAGCTAACGATGCAGGTGTTATTGTGTGTGTGTGTGTGTGTGTGTGTGTGTGTGTGTGTGTGTGTGTGTAGTGGGGGGGGGGTGACTCAGCAGCTGAGCTATGACACCATGAGCCGCTTTTAAAAATGGACACAGGTGCTGGCCGACTCTTTGCAAAGCCCCGATCCTGTGCAATTAATGAAATTCGCCCGCATTTTATGCTGAGTTAATTTGCACTGTTCCCTGAAGGCGCTAACAGGCATCCAATTGCCTTACGTGTTGCCCGGAGGTTTCCGATGACCGCCATTGAGAAAAGGCACTTACCCACAAGGAAGCAAAGGCACTTCACTGGCGATCGCCTCCCCCGGCTGCTCGATATAGGGGATGTTGCCCGAAAGCACAGAGGAAGGGAAGGAGGCGCACGCCTTCTCTGCTGGCCTTGATGACGGCCCAGAATTTTGAATGTGCCAAATGCTGACAATCCTTTACCTCATCGGGTGCAATTGCCAGCGCTTTGCGGTCAGCCCGTGCTTATTCTTCATGATAAAAGTTTATCTTTTTTCCAATTCTCTAAATAAACAAAAAGGCACGAGGAAGCATTGCCGTTCCCTCAGGAACACGGCTCTGCTTCTCGCTGTCGACACATACACAGCAAACAAACCTTATTTACATTCAAACATACGTCTTCTAAGCATATAAGCTTTCAGTGCCACCGTCGCCTGCAATCCTCCCCGGCGAGGGATGTCCAGTTACTAACTGGCAACCGACTCACTGCTTCGAGGCAGTATGAGAATGAGGTGAAGAGGCAGGCTGCTGCCCTCTGAATGGTACCTCTGAGTCAAGGCCTCAGTACCAGTGGGAGTGTTTCTCTACCTTTGGTTTACCTTGTTTTTAATGTTTCGCCAGTCCTAGCCAAGCGAGGGTCCCCCTACCAATGCCTCTGGTGGTCCCTCTCTAGGTTAAGGTGTTCAGGTACTTGTTCTCCCCAGCCAGGGAGGTCAGCATGGAGGTCATATCACCCACAGCCATGTTGGAGAGCCCGGTGGAGAGGCTGAGGGAGGTCTGTGGTGTGGTGAGACGTGAGGAGGTCTGGGATGAGGACGGGTTAGGGCCCTGCAGTGGGGGCAGGGGGCTGTATGATGCTGTGTCGGGGTCGTCCATGATGGCGGCGAAGTCAATCTGTGCGTTCTCCAAGTCCAGGTTATCCAGGGCGTTGGACATGGGTGCCGGCTCCGGGTAAGAGAGGGAGGCCGACCTGGCCTCGGTCTCCAGGGCCCCCAGAGTCGGCTGGTTGAGGCAGGTTCCGGGTTGGGCAGGCTGCTGGGGCAGCTGCTTGTTCAGGTCCGGCTGCAGGTGGATCTGGCCCGAGTAGTACATGGCGCTGCTGTCGGCCTGGAGCTGTTGCTGCATGGGGGGGAGGCGTACCCCTCTGCGGGGGCTGGCTGAGGAGCTGGCTGGGCTGAGGTGAGGCGGGCTAGCAAGGTATCCCGCCCCGGACTGCTGAGGCAGGCTGTTCTGACGGCTCAGCGGCTTCCGGCCCTGGGGGGGGCGTGGAATCGGCGCGTTGGAGGCGTAGCAGGGGCTCAGGAGAGCGTCTTTGGCCTGCACCGGGCCCGGGCTCATCAGGTTCTGGTTGGGGTAGGCTGGGTAGCCAGTGCCGGGGTAGAGGCCCTGAGACTGGTGCTGCTGGTGCTGGGGGCTGTGCTGCATCATGGGAATGTGCCCGCCCATCTCCATGCTGTCCGCCAGGCTCGGCTGCTGGAGGGCCTTCCCGGCAATGCCGGCGAGGTCTGGGCTGCCTTGTTCCTGCTGCTGCTCCCACATCAGGGCCTGCTGCGACTGCACGTAATTCCTCACCATCATCTCCTTCACCTGCATCATGGGCGTCTGGGAGCGGTGACCGTCGCCCAGGGGGGCCCCGGTGCAGCCCAGGCTCAGCCCCCCTGAGCCAGGGTAGGAGCCTGGGTGCTGTTGGGAGTCTAACGGAGGCTGGATCTCGCAGCTGGAATGGCTCGGCTGCTGCTGCCCATAGGCCTGGGCCGGGCCTTGGTTCTGGCAGGAGTTTGGACCGGCTAAGGATGGGTGGTACTGCTGCTCAGGCTTGATGGCCGGCTTCTGGCCTGAGGAGGGGTTCCTGAACGTGCCGGGCTGCCCGTAGTGGGGTCCCGGTGGCACTTGCATCCCATGGCCCTGGTACTGCAGGGGCGGCTGGTCCACGGTAGGCCGTCCGGGGTCTCCCCAGGGGGTGGCCATACCCTCTCCTATTTGGACCCGGCTGGTGTACTGTGGCCCAGACGGGCTCAGCTGGCAGGTGCTCATGCTGTACTCGGCCTGCTGCAGGAGGCTGTTCGAGGCTGCCTCGGCCTGCCCCACCTCGGCCTGCCCCAAAGGGCCACCCCTGATTGCGCCCACACCCCCGTGCCGGCGCTGATAGTGCCCTGGCATGTGATAGACCTGCTCAGAGCAGCCAGTGCCCTCATGGCCGGGCGATAACGCCGTAGACGGGCCCTGCTGGTACCCGCCATACGGGCCCTCGCCAGACGCCATCTCCACAGCCATGGCCTCCATCAGGACGTTCTCGGAGATGCTGGGTGGTCGTGGCGAATACATGCGGCGGGCGACGGTGCTGTCTGAGATGCCGTGCTGTAGCCCCACCCCCCCTCGCCGGCCGGCAGCCGCCGCCACGTCGCAGAGGCTGCTGAATCGCTGGACCCGAGGCAGGGGTGGCGGCTCGCCTCCGGAACGGGCGGGGTCGCTGGCACGCCGCACGCCATTGCCCGGTGCCTGGTGGGGGTACATGACCCCGGTGCCATACTCGGTGTTGGTGCTGTGCCTGCGGGGGGCGCCCTGGTGGAGGAATGGTGGCATTGGCTGGCCCTGGAACTCAGACATGAAGCCCCCCACGGCCCTGGGGGGGCCCGGCTGCTCCATGCAGGGCAGGGGAGTGGGAGGTGGCCCACCAGTGGCTGCGGCGTACTTGGCCTTCAGGCTGTAATGCTGCGCCGGGGTGAGGTTGGGGAGGCCCGGCAGGCCCCCGCCCTCGCGGCATGACCCCGTCCGGCGGCCCGTCCCTGGGGACAGGGGATCTGACTGGCTCTGGCCTGGCAAACCGCCCACCTGGGACACCTCACTGGAGCGGCGGCTGGAAAGGTATGGGGAGGCCATGGAGGAGCGACGGCTCACGGTATAGGCGGAGCTCAGGCTGCTGGTGCCACTGCCACGCCTGTCATTGGGTGGGCAGGCCATGCCCCCTGGGATGCCTCCTGCCTCTGGATTGGACAGTTCCATCACACGCCGGTTCGACAGCATGGATGGGGGGGGGCACATCCCAAGTAGATCTCCAGGAGCTGCAGGAAGAGAGAGACTTATCAGTTCACACAGTTACAGAACAGCCGCAGTCTAGTTCATAGCTAACAAACTAAATAGCGCCCATCGTCCCGATTAAATGCTTGTGAATTAAAAGCTGATACATACGTACAGATACTGACACTAACCCCTGTTTTACACTGGATGCGTTTCCGACACGGCAGCCGCGGGTAATCGCCGCCAATAAAGTCAATGCATCAGTTTACACCAGATCCGCTGCGCTGCGTCTCCACTACGTCTCTGTTCCGTCACATGTCCGGCAGTCCGTTGAGATGCGCATCAAGTCTATTTTTGATGGATACGGATCAAGAACGTAACACAGAGCGCATGCGCCAACTCCCCTTCACATCATGGACGACGAAAAGTTCATTTTGGAGGTGGAGAAACACGGAATTGTGTACGACCCCAGACATCCTTTCTATAAGGATAATAGCAGAAAGGAGAAGGCGTGGAGTGAAACTGCAGAAGTTTTGGGATTTGACGGTAAGTTGAATCTTCCAATTAACTATGTAAATACTTGATATTTAATGAAAGTAACCTGTACTGTGAATTACTTGTAAACTCCTAATAAAGTGTTCAGTAACCTACATGGGAGTGACACATTATTTTATCCATAGAAACATAGACAAATGTTATGTTAAATGTTATTCTCCCGTGATCATGTGATCTTGCAAACCAGCGGCGAGCCAGATCAGATACGGACCACAAAGGCGTCCAGTGCGAATTGGCGGACGACCTCAGACAGAATGGGAATGCAGCGCAGTCACAGCGCAGTCGCTCCACAGCGGATACGCATCCAGTGTAAAACAGGGGTAAAGAGGCTCGGCTAGTCTGTCTGCTCTAGCTAGACCTACGAAGGTGACCCAAGTCAGAACCAGCTATCGCCAAGACAGATAGGTAGTTATCACCATGGTTGCGTTAATCTAAAATTCAGGTATAGCCACGTAGCTAATGGGGAGTTTTACATGAAGCTGGAGTACTACCAGGATATAATCAGCCAAGGTTGTATAGCTAACTACTAATTAACATCTGCTAGGTTAGGATCACCTTTTACTGCTCATGTTAATGTTAAGATGGCGGTCTTCTCAGTGGTCACATTTTACACAAATGTCCAGATGTTCCTGGTCTGTCCATGAGAAGTGCATCTAGCCTTTTTAGTCGGAACTGATGCTTAAAATGATCACATTCTCTGAGACATTTAGCGCTTCGATCATACAAGTTTTTCACAATGGCTAACTGATGAACAGTCCATGACGAAATAGCTAGCTTTTGGTGTCTCCGAATAGAGAGCTCAGAAACAACGCCATTAGTCCCCGGTGTGGGCACACTGTCTCCGATGCAGCCGCCGACAGCCTGACAGTCACCTGTGAGCGCAGGCAGCTTGTTGTTGCAGGTCCCGCCCCGTCCTCCGGGTGGCGTTGGACGCCGGATCTGTTTCAGCTTGTCTATCTTCAGGTTCTCCAGCCGCTTCAGCGCCTGGGCCGACATCCCCATCCCCGACATCCCGATGAGACCGCCGGCCTCAGCTGCGCCCACCCCCCCCTCCTCCAGGGCCGTCAGGTCCTCCAGGCTGCCCCCAGGATTGGCGTTCATTTCCACTCCGCTGTCGTTGTTGTTGGTGCTCCCCAGTGGTGAACGCTCGCTACTGCAAGACGACTGTCCCCCTGGGCTTGGCTGGGACTTCTGAGAGGGAGGTGTAATAAATACAACAGAACAGATGATAGTTATAGGCTGGACACATTCATCCCATGGGGTGGGGCAAGAGCCAAGGGGCACAAGACAGGAAATAACTTCCAACCCATCACAGGGCACACTCAAACACCATTCACCCACACAGGCAGTTTGGTAACTCCAATTAACCTCAATGACTTTGGACTTTGGGGTAAACCCTTAGCTGTCAAGTCTCCCGTTTTGGCCGGGAAACTACCGTATTTTACCCCTGTTTCCTGCCGTCCTCCCGTATTAGTAATTTCCGGTAAATCTCCCGTATTATAATATCATTTAAAAAAAAATTCCTCTGCCTCTCCAAACTGAACTGTCAGTAGCCTGGCGAGAACTGCCACCTGCAGTAGCCTGCAGGTCATTTACGACATTAACCAGGTCATAAATGCAGAGGTTAAAATGGCAACGCTGTGTGCCAAAAACAACGTCACTATCACCTTCTGTGACGACTTCAACACGGATACAAAGTCTGCAACAAATCTGTATAATAAGTCATTAGTGAATGCCAGAGAGCCACATGAGTGAACATGAGAAATTACAAGAAAATGTGTAATGAAAATAAAATATAAATGTCAAGTGGTTATTTTAGATTTCTTGTACACCTGTCATAAAATGTAAGGGATACTGGAGCTTGGTTGGGGTGGTGGGGTGGCTCGCGGTGGGTGCCGGAAAATTTCCCTTATTTTCAAATCCAAAACTTGACAGGTATGGGTAAAACCAAAGGAAACCCGACAAAAACACATGCAAACTCCATACACAGTGACTCATATCCTGGTCCCAGAAGTATGAGGCAACAGTACTAACCACTTCACCACCATACCATCAGGACAAATTTATAACTAAAAATATACAAGTAATTAGGGGTGGGCGATATACCGGTAGACACGACTAACCGGTAGAAATTTGTCAACCGATATAGATTTTGGTCTATCGTCTTAATCGCAATTGAGATCACGTGACGTTGCACGTTAGGTAGCCACGCAATACACATTCACTTCGACAATGGAAGAAGACGGTGCAGCGGTGAGTTTGCTTACATGTGACGAAACCAACAATGAGGAGATTGTAAAGAAAAAAGGTGCATCGTCTGTGGTGTGGAATTGGTTTGGGTATAGGAAAAGTGATACGAATGAGACAAACGTGATTTGCAAGGTATGCAAGAGCACTGTTTTAGCAAGCGGTGGAAACACGTCAAACCTTTTCTATCATCTCAAATCCAAGCATCCAAACGAATATGGCCAAAGTAAAAAAAATGTAGTACAATACATTGCAGTAAACAGTATGGTTGTTTTTTTTACTTAAAGTAATGCTGCAATTCACAGTTTAAATAAAATTACATTATATAAAAGTTTCTTTGTGTTTGAATTTTTATTTATGCATTTCCAGATACAAATTGCTATATTGTGATATATATCGTTATCAAGGTAGAAAATTGCTTCTACCGTGATAGAAGATTTTGGTTATATTGCCCACCCCTACAAGTAATAAACATATGTATATGTAATATATGGTTGCTGTCCAATGAAATACAGGTATCTCCAAAAATCCATTATTTCAGGAGTGTGAAAGGTGCATTTTCTCAGAAACTACTTTACAAAATATACCTAATCATTAGCACCACTATCATCACACACCTGTCAATAAATGGTTTAATTCAGGGCTTTTCAAATATGGGCCTCGATTCCAAATCCAGGCCTTGTTTTCAGTTCTCCCAGGCAATTACTTTAATAATTACTGATTCTGATTGGCCAGAGGCATCACACCTGGCTCAAAGGTAAAGAAAGGAAGGCTGGAAAATCAGCAGGGCTCGGACCTCGAGGACCATGATTTGAATAGCCCTGGTTTAACGTTTTAGACGGACTTAAGTGGATCGTTTTCAGCAAGGCACATATGCCAGTATTAACAAGGTAGAGAGTAATCTTGCTTTATATTGACAATTAACCACATTAGCTAGCTACAGTGTATGGACAAAAGTATTAGGACACACGTCTTAATCATTGAATTCAGGTGTTTCATTCAGACCCATTTCCACAGGTGTTTAAAAATAAAGCACCAAGCCACGCAGTCAGGTTCACGGACATTTGTGAAAGAACGGGTCATTCCGAAGAGCTCAATGAATTCAATCATGGAACTGTAATAGGATGGCCACCTTTGCAATAAGTCAGTTCCTGAAATTAATTCCCTGGTAGATATTCCATGGTCAGCTGTAAGCGGTATTATTGCAAAGTGGACGTGATTAGGAACAACAGAAGCTCAGCCACTAAGTCGCAGACCATGAAAAGTAACAGAGCGTGTAAAAGTCGCCTGCACTCTGTTGACTCAATAGGTGCAGAGTTCCAAACTTCCTCTAGTATTAACCTCAGCACAAAACTGTGCACCAGGAGCTTCATGGAATGGGCTTCCATGGCCAAGCAGCTGCATGCAAGCCTCACATCACCAAGCGCAATGCCAAGCGTCAGATGGAGTGGTGTGAAGCGCGCCGCCACTGGACTCTGGGAATGTGTTCTGCGGAGTGACGATTCACGCTTCTCTGTCTAGCAGTCCGATGGATGAGTCTGGGTTTGGCAGATGCCAGGAGAACTTTACCTACATGACTGCATGGTGCCAACTGTAAAGTTTGATGGAGGAGGGATAATGGTATGGGGTTGTTTTTCAGGGGTTTGGGCTTGGTCCCTTAGTTTGAATGAAGGGAACGCTTAATACTTCAGCATACCAAGACACTTTGGACAATTCTATGCTTCTAATTTTGTGGGAACACTCAGCGAAGGACCTTTTCTATTCCAGCATGACTGTGCCCCAGTGCGCAAAGCAAGGTCCATAGAGACATGGTTGGGTGAGTTTGGTGCGGAAGAACTTGACTGGCCCTCACAGAGCCCTAACCTCAACCCAACCGAACACCTTTGGGATGAACTAGAACAGAGATTATGAGCCAGGTCTTCACATCCTACATCAGTGCCTGACCTAACAAATGCTCTGAATGGGCAAAAATTCCCACAGATACACTCCAAGATTTCATGGAAGGCCTTCCCAGACGAGTGGCAGCCATTATAGCTGAAAGGAGGTGGGGACCAACTTGATATTGACGGCTATGGATTTAGAATGAGGAGTCATAAACTTCCTGTGGGTGTAATGGCCCGGCGTCCCAATACGTTTGTCCATATAGAGTGTCTAGCTATTGATGTTAAGTTGTTATAATTAACAAAGCAAAATAATCCATACAAATGGCCACCATGAATACAAACATTAACTACAACTAACAAATAATAGTTAAACTGATGACTTCATAAAACATCTTTTGTTTAGTCAATTAGATATTAAATGTTATCAGTAGACAGAGGAGAATGGTTGTATTCCATCTATAGTAAAGAGTCACAATCATTAAAAACTGTACATATACAGTTTTTGTTGGACAGTGATGATCTGCAGTGATGATATATATATATTTTTAAGCAACATATAGGCAACAACGGACACATTTGGCAATGGCATTCCACACAAAATAGGTTTAAAAATAAAGGAATCAGTGGGCTTAATAGCCTAAAGAATATACAGGCTAAGCATCCACGTTTTAAATTCCTAATTTTTTTTTCTGTTGATGCTGCTCTTGCGTCTCTCTATAAAATAAAATTTCACTGACAGCGATACGTGAAATTAAAAAAATCCTATTAGACCTACTTTGAATGACAAAACGAATTTATTTGATTACCAATATTTACTTTTAAAGGTTAGTTATAGGCTTTTATACTTTAATTTACTTTATAGACTTGATATACTACAACCATATAAAACTTGCTCACGTTTTGCTCTGGCTTCCGCCTGTTTGCGTAGCACTCTCATGTTTCTGAGAAAAGTGATTCCAAAGTGAATCTTTACTCACTGAAACAGTTTCACCACATTGTTGTTCTTGCTCTACATTATTGTCATCTATACGTTTGATAAGAATATTACACTTGTATGATTTATCAGTTTCCTTTGTGAAATACTTTGCGAATTCCATTCCATGCCAATTCGTGTAACAGTCTCAATAATTACAGATGGATTCTGGGTAGATTTGGGCACGCCTCATAATCGTAGTGTGAGCGGTATCGGAGCGAAATTGGAGCGAGACAGAGCTACTGCTCCAGCCTTAATTAAAAAACCGCTCCGCGCTCCGACTAAATTCCTCCCGCCCCGCTCCGCTCCTCGCTCACGCTCCGCTCCACTCCGCTCACATACTCTGATATATATATATATATATATATATATATATATATATATATATATATATATATATAAAATACCACAATAATACAATAAAACCACTTGTAACAGAGGAAAAACACTGTTGTGCATTTTGTTGTTTAAGACTTGAAAACTTTAAGTCATAATTATGTAATCTTTTATAACCTGTTTTCCTCATGTTTACTATAGACTTTGCACTAAGTAATAATTTTGTTTTTGTGAGTAAAAGACATTTCAGTCTGTTTCCTGATGTGTGTCTCAGCCCAGACAGAATATGTCTGTGATTTTCCCAGGAAGCGTCTTTACATTCTGGAGATAATTCTCTACCGTTTAAAGGATTTGGGAGGATTACAAACTAGACTCGGTTGGGTGGGTATTTTTCAAAGTAGTATCATCGTATAGGAAATTCAACAACACTAAACACACTGGGAGAAGCCAATCAAGAAGATGTGGCTTGCAGTGCGTTTCACTTTTAAAACTTTCGATGCATGAAGCCCAATCAGAAATGGCTCCTCATGCTTCCTCATAACAATACTTGTGAAATGGTGTATCTGAAATGCACTGCATTTTTACAGTAGAGTCTGCTGACTTACAAAGAATCATAAAGCTGTTAAACAAAACTGACTGATGTAAAGATGTCCCCTTCTGCTCACCAGGGAAACTTCTGGAGCCAGCAGTTTGCAGTCCTCCCTACGGCCTTCCTCTTTCTCCAGGTGCAGCTCTGAACATTGGCCACTGGAGGGCAGCATGGAGCCAGGTGCCCTGGGACCCATGTCCCCCCTGTGCTTCTTGGTGATGTGAGCCTCTGGTCCGTGCACCGTTTTCACGTGCTTCCGCAGGGAGCTTGGGTCCGTGTAACGCTTGGTGCAGCCCGGGATCTTGCACACGTACGGCTTCTGCAGAAGACGTGAGGCCAGATGCCTGTGTTAGCGTAGCCTTTTCTGGAGGCTGCTCCACAGCTTAGCGACGTCTGCTAACAGCTCCTCCTTTACATATCGCTCTCACAGCAATATTAGATACATACAACCAGTTAAACCTTAATAGTCATCCTGAACCTTCTACATGTTTCTGTATTGGATTGTCATTTACAATATTACCATATATCCTCAGGTATATTCTTTAAATTATGTAGCATGAGACAAAATAATAATTCTTTTAATGTATTTTGAATGAGGAGAAAGTTCCTTAAAATGTGCCTGACTTTCCGGAATGCACTTGCATGAACTGAGATCCCCTTATGCTGATGAAGTTGCCTGTCTTCCTGACTGGAGATTTTACTGGCCCAGTGCCACCCCTAGTGATCAGTGTGAATTTTCCTGGGATGCTGCACAACTGCAGCTGGATCGCAGTATTTTCGCCGACACTGCGGCCGCCCTACTCTTTAGCTGTGACTGTGCCGCTGCGGGCGGCCGGGCGGGCGGGCACCTCGTTGGAGTGCGTGCGGTTCTGGTGCTTGGCGCGGTCCGAGGCGTTGGAGAAGGCCTTGTTGCAGCCCTCGTGCTCGCAGACGTATGGCTTCTCGCCGGTGTGCGAGCGCAGGTGGGTCTTCAGGTTCTCTAGGCGTGAGTAGGCCTTGTGGCAGCCCTCGAACTGGAGACCAGGAGCAGGAAGACGCCCAGGAACAAGGATCAAACACACAGGACTTACTCAGCCCTCAGCAGGCCCTGGGAGTAACAACTATTACAGATGTTTAATTAAAGAACCTGAGTTCAAACTGAACTTGAAGTAAAACTCAAAGGATATTTAAAAGCTTGTTAAAAGGTCAGGTTTTAGGTTTGATAAAACTTTATTCTTCCTGAAGAAAAATTTTGTGCCAAGATATAGCTCTCATATTCCAACAGTAAAACTACAAGCTGAACTTAAAATACCAAATATAAAATAATGAGTATATATGTGGGAAAGTAAGATGGTAAGTAAATTGGGAGTGTCTATGTGCAAAAAGGTGTATGGTATATAGGATAGTGTATATTGGCCTTTCTGATTATAGACTGGTCAATTCAGAGTAATGGAAGCCATGTTTACTCCAGTGGGCAGTGTGATCATGTGACCAGGGCTCCTTATCACTATAGCAACGCCAGGCCCATAAGCCAGGGCCGGTGGGCTGCTCACCGTGCACTTGTGTGGCTTTTCGCCCGTGTGCCTCCTCATGTGCACCACCAGCATGTACTGGGCCTTGAAGGGGCGCTGTTCCCGCGAACAGTCCTGCCAGTGGCACACAAACTCCTTCTTCTCCCCGTGGATGTGTTCGTTGTTGATGTGCTGTGGGCCAGCCAGTACAGAGTCACCAGACACCATCGTACAAAGTAATATGCCTGTTTCATTGACATGACACCAACTAGTGGTGGAATATGGAAATGTTTAATTTATCGTAACAATGGAATTCCGTCGCTTTTTTCTTTCTGCAAATGAACAGTAGACGTGAATGAATAAAGAACCTGGTACACGTCATGATTACACACACCAACATTAAAACTCATTACTGCTGTTTTTACAGATAACACAGGTATCGATTTTTTTCCACTTTTCCTAATGATTTTTTTTTTTTTTTAAGAACTTCTCTGGCTGTGATCACACTGAAACACAGATAAACCAGGAGGAAAGTGAAATCAGTCTGCTGGATGCTAAACAAGTCAGCACAAACACGGCCATGTGCTTGATCGTTAATTCTGTTTAAGTGTTCAACAGAAGTGCGAAATTCGTGTCCATGAGTGGAATTGTTGATTAATCAGAATGCATACACTAATGCGACTTGTCATTATAGTGAAGGGTCTGTAAATGGAGGGTAGCTTTAATAGCAGACATATTATTCACATCCATCCATCCACCCATCCATCGATCTTCTAACTGCTTTTCCTGATCAGGGTTACTAGTGAGATCCTTTGCCAGGCAGCACAGGGCACGAAGCTGGGTACACCCTGGACAGGATTCCATATGGCGGGAACCACGCCATCGTACAGTAGGAGATGTCAACACACACACGGCTAGAGGTGTGAGGTGACAGTGCTGCTCACTGAGCCACCCAGATATACTGTCTTAATAAAGTACTACTGCATTTAATGTTTAACTCTATATGCTTTGCCATGAATAAAATAAACTGAGGACATATATAACACACCGGCATTTATTAAAGGGGGGGTCTGATTTTAATGAAGGTAAATGACAGCACACCATTTAAACTAATTAGTAAACACTTATCTGGGGGGGTCTAAAGTTCCCCTAAATCTGCATACCCATCTCTATAATTCTCTGTATCTATCAATACCAGTTTTTCTCTATATCCCTGTCCTCTTTCCCTTCCTCCATCTCCCTCCTTCATACTTTATCTATTTTGCCCTCATTCTATCTTGTCTCTGATTCCCTCTCTCCCTCTTTCTCTCTCTCTTTCCTTTCCTCCTTCTCACTCGTTCTCTCATCTCTCTCTCTCTACTCTTCTCTCTCACCGTTTCACTCATTCTTTCTCCATCCCTCCCTCCCTCCCCCCCTCGCTCCGTCCATCACTCACGTGCACCAGTTGCTCCTGGGTGTCGAACTCCTTGCTGCAGCTCTCCCAGTGGCAGTTGGTTTCATAGACGGCCTCTGGCTCAGGCTTGCCGTCCTCCTTGTCCAGCTCCTCGCGACCCTCCAGGAGCCCTAGGAGCGGGTCCTGTGGAGGAGGGAGGGAGGACAGCTCAGCAGGAGGCCCAGCCGGCCCCTGAAGCACTGACATGGGGGGTTGGGCATAGTGGGCAGAAGTTGCTTTCCAGTCATACTTTGCTGGGATAATGCTGGGACTGGTAATCGGCATGTACCTTTCACCTGTTATCTGGACGATGTCTAAAGATTGTCAGTGATTTTTTGCAGAGCTTGGGGCTGGTGAGATCATAACAGTGTCAGCTAGACCACACACACACACACACACACACAGACAGATGTCTTATGACCAGCATTATTCACAAAAGTACCCCATCACAGACAGAGGTGGACATATCAAGTCCAGAATGTACAAATCCAAACCAGGATTTAGTTTCAACCAACTATGAGTATAAAGAGACACAGACACAGAGTGGTTGGTTGAAACAAGTCCTTGGTCTGGATTTGTACTTTCTGGACCTGAACTTTCCACATCTGTCTGTAATGGAGTACTTTTGTGTGTAAGTTTCCCGACACTGCATATGAGACAGGCTCTTCCAGGTCACCGCAAATTAAATACACTTATTTGAACATCCTATGTATAATATTGGGTGACCATTTGCTTAGGAACCCTGTGTACAACCATTCACTGCCTCCAATGGGCCATTTGTTTTCAGCAATCATGGATCATGGAGCCTCTCAATACTTTCTAAGAGTTAGTAACAAATACTAGCAGCACAGTGGAGCTGCAGCAGAATAGACCATTTGCATTGTATGTTTAAATGGAAAAACCTTTTAAAAATCTGACTGTATATTATCAGCACCCAATTATCAAATTAGGATGTGCATTAAAGCATGTTAGAGGATTATTTCGCACTAATAGTAGGTTTAGGGAACATTATCAGCTAACAGATCAGGATTGTGGATGAAGTTGGCAGCCCTTAGCATTGCCCACTGTGAAACTGTCAGTTTCATTCTCTTAATGCTATTCCACCCAACATTGTGGAATTAGAGAAAAAAGGGCTTCTAAATGTAAAGCAGAAGGTTATTTTAGTTAAATATATCACTGGAAGCATATGATTGTTCCATATTTTTTAATAAATCAAACATTAAGCTTCTCAGTGGTGTGGTTTTTGTGGGAAATGTGTAAATGCAGTGCTTGAATATGATTACGTCACATATTTTTGTATAAAATTATATTTCATAGTGAGGTTTCTCCTGCTGACTTGAGCCAACCAATTTTTTAAGGACTGTTAATAAACAGTGTGATTTCCCTGGCAAGCAAGTCTCCATGTCTCTCTCTGCTCCCGCGATGCCTCGCTCCGGCCGTCGTCACACTATTTTGTGTTTTTCTTTAAATTTTTTACTACAAAAACCACAAAATTAATTAACAAAAATTATTATTTGGTAGGCTTGTGAAAGAATTAATCGAATTTCAGTGCTTTCTTACGGGACAAATTGCCTTGGTTCACGTATAAATTGGTTCACGACCACTTTCCCGGAACGGATTGTGTTTGTGTACCGCAGGCATCACTGTATTGTAAATCACTGCATTTATTGACAACTAATTAGCAAAATCGCTGTTCTGTCTCCGTATATTGAATGCATTTAATTCACAATTCACTCTCTACATGGCTCTGTTCTAACCCGGTGGAGACCAATCAAGTAACCAATGACATGTGAGTTAAACCAGACTTTGGCTGATGGAGGTTCATACAAGGAACCCGGCCTGCATTACCTGGGTACCAGTGGAGGATGGACTGGCCACGTCAGCCTCTGACCTGTCGTCCAAGCCCTTCCCACTCAAGTTGTCCATCACGCTGCCCATTACAGGCTCGGTCTTCATCTACACAGGATGGGACAGTGACATGTGACTCCCATCCTCTCAGGCCCCCCAAAACCGTAAATAATGGCCGGTTTTCAACGTGACTCCTCTGTAGAACATCATTAGCAGCTGGGTAGTATGCTGTTGTATTTATTGTAATTTCTTTTTATACAGAAGTTGACCTTCTAAGAAACATTACGAACAACATGCACTTTGTCATGACAGCAGGTGGGCAGCAGAAGTGGTCTCACGTGGCAGTGCTTTGGAGAGGCGTGGACCCTTGGATTGTGAGGGACCAGCCGAGGGGGAGCTGGGTGGCACGGTCCATGCGGATGCCCCAGGGGAGTGCCCGAGTTGAACGTGTTCCCCTGCGGCCGGGGTTGGTAGGTTCCTGAGCTGGAGTAGCCTAACGATGGACTGGGGGACAGAGGAATGTCGATTTTCAGATGAGAAAGGTAGATTCTAAGAGAACGTTAAGTAATTTGTGATTTGGAGAGCGAGATAGTTCACTGTCTTCAGTGGTCATGAGTGCTTCAAGTGGAGATACAGCATCAGTGCATTTTGGAGATCTGCATGAGATCATTCCTGAGATCTGTTTAGACGGTATTCAGGTTTGCCATGCAATGACCCAATGTTTCAGAATAACAATAATAACACATTTGATTCGCACAACGCTTTTCAAAACCCAAGGATACCAACAATATGCAAAGAAAGAAAAACAGAGTGAGGGGAACTGGAAGAGTTGGGAGAACAGAAAGGATTTAAGAAGAGAACTGAAGACTGGGAGGGAGGGTGGGGGAGTTACAGATGTCAGAGGGAAGGAAATTCCAAAGAGGAGAAGCTGCGCTAGAGACGGCCTAGTCACCGAAGGTGAGGAGCTCGGAAGGAGGAGCAGTGAGGAGCCCAGAAGAGGTGAATTTAAGAGTGAGAGGGAGCTGGTAGGGCAGGTGAAGATCAGACTGAAGAGGGGAGCAAGATGATTGGTTATGAGGGGAATTTTGAGTCGGATGTGAAATTTCATGGGGAACCAGTGCAGGTCTCGGAGAGCTGGACAGCCATGAGTAGGGGGGGGCACACAGCCCTAAGAGCGCGGCCCCTGACCTCATGGTGCCCACCGACAGATGCCCGTAAGAACCGGCGCTGTTGGGGCCGCAGCGCGAGTTGACGAAGGCCACCAGCGAGTTGGGAGAGGTGCGGATGACGGTCTGCAGGTCCAGGCTGGTGTCGGACAGTGGCGAGATGGACAGCGCTCGCTTCTTGCTCAGCCTCAGCATGGAGCGCGGCGTGGGGAAGCGCGACCCTGGGGGTATTGGGGGCACAGAGTCAGCCTGGGCTGCGCGCTGCACGGCTCCGGCGCGGCTGCACATGTCGCTCCCTTACCGTCACCCGCCCCCATGCTCTCAGAGCCCAGCTGGCCCAGAGAGAAGCTGTTGTGGGAGGACATCAGGTTGTTCTGGCTGCAGCACGACCCAGCAATACCTCCTGGGAGGCAAAAGGACAAGCAGAGGGGTGGACTTTACATTACATGACATTTATTTAGCAGACTTTTATCTAAAAGTGATTGGAGGTTTAGGGCCTGGCTCAGGGGCCCAATAGAAAAATTACTCTGCTGACCCTGGGATTTGAACCACAGGTACAGCAACCTAACACACTGAGCCACATACTGCCCCCTATGGGCTGTAGATCGTCGGTTCTTTACTCTAATCAGCATGCTTTTATTATATAATAATCCACCACCTGCATACCTGGGGTGGCAGAATATCACATAAAATGGACTTATGTGGGTGGGGGGGCGAAATGTAACTCTATCATAAGGAAATAGCCTCCTGGACACTCACCATCTGCGGCCTGCATGCCACGGTGCCCCAGCATGCCATTTGAAGGGTGGCCGTGCATGGGCCGCATGTAGGGGTCCATGCAGGACCCTGGGGTCATGCTAGGGGTCAGGGGGTACAAGGCGCGGCCATCTTGGGGCTGCCCGTTGTGTGCCGGTGCCCGCAGCGTGGAAAGGTCGCTGTATGTTGGTCTTCCCGAAGGCGCCAAGCTGTTGCATCAAACACACGGGACAAAAAGCCCAGGGGTGGGGGCCGGTGACTGAGCTCCACTATTCACTACACATTTGCCCATGACCCTCTGCTGTGATGTTCCCATGTGGCCACAAGAGGGCGCCAACATTGTTTTCGTTTTTGTCACCCCCCCCCCCCTTGTAGTCCGTAAAGGAGAGTCCCTGCCAGTGCCGCTGCATGTTATGGCTGGTGTGACAGGGGGGAGTCCGGCTGTGTGACGCAACATTCCCGGGATTTCTGGGGTCCATCTGAGCTGCCCTGCTGTGCCGTGGTCGCCGGGGGGGGGGGGGCGGTATACATTTTTCACTTTTACTCCTTTATCCTGCTCCTTCTCTTCCTTTATAGTTCCACTTCTCAGCTCCCTCGCTCTCCTCCTCATTTGCTCAGCCCCAGCGCTTACAGCCTCCTCCTAATCTTTATATCGTCTACTTCGTCCATTATTCTAGCCCCCCCCGCCCCCCACCACCACCACAAATGTCTCCCTCCCTCTGTTCCCCTGTATGGGTAACCTGAGAGGGGGGGTCAGTCATGCGGAGCGGGGGCCACAGCGCAGTGGCCTGGTCAGTCTGTAATTAGCAGCTGTCAGAGGGAGGGGAGGGGGGTAGATGTGGGGGGGGAGGGGGGGCTGACACTGCTCTCAACCTGGGTGGCATCGGGGGAGCTGTGGGGGGAGTGGGAGAGGGGCGGGGCCAGCCAGCTCCACAACAATTGTTAGACTGAGGTCTTTGCAGTCAGGGAATAGAAGGGTATGAATCGGACATCACAGGGTGCAAAGTTTTAAAACTGGATTTTAGCGTACAATTCCACTGCAAGGTGGAATGATAGTGACTTTGACTTATTTTAAGCGACTGATATAATCTTATAGTTTCTAAAAGAAGTGATGTAGGAGAACAGACAGAAAGATCTGGAAAAACAGTAAGAATCAGCTGAATCAGGCTCTCAGGCTGCGGGTCCCAGATCGATGGTTCCAGCAGGTCTTACCCTCTGGATGGCTGGTGAGGTGGAGACTCATAGTGACACAGGCCTTGGTGCGGCTGCATGCCCTCTGGCATTGGTGCCGGGCACCGTGGGATTGCACCGTCGAGCCCTGAAAGAGAACGCAACTGTCACGCCCTCCTGGGGACGCAGAGCCGCACAGACATCGTGCCAAATGACAATGTCTTTCATCGATTCATTGATGCATTCATTCATTCACACATTTGCTCATTCTTGCATTTATTTTGCACAGTCTTTGTTTAAAATGTTTTTTGCAGTCCATAAACAAATAAGCCACAAAACCATTCATTTATTTTTATCGTCTCTGGGCTGGACCATTTTACTCATATCACCAGGGGTTCATGGATGTAAGTAAAGTCCAGAACTGCCCATAACAAGGATTTTTTACTTTGAATTGTAGATTTTGGAAAAAGTTGGCTTGGACTGTTGAATTAGATATAATAAATAAAAAATTTTTTATAATTGATGTGTAATGTATCGGTCTTGGTTTTATTTAAGTCACTAGGGGCTTTGTTGATCTTTTGGTCATAAACGTTTTATTGTTTCTCAGTCTATTTCAGGGCACTGGGCAGCACAATGGTTAATGACGTCGACTTGTAGCCAAGGGAGCAACTGATTGGACCTTTGAGAGTCATGTTCAACCCAAAACCGCACCAGTGAAACATCCAGCTACTACAATTGTTAAGTGGCAAATTTTAACTCTAAACTACATTTAGAGATTACCCCTGACAAGAGTAGTTAGCAAATTGCACAACTTGATTACGAGGGATTAAGGGAGAAAGGGGGACGACGGTGAGGCACGGAGGACGGAGAACCCGAGGAGCCGGGTGGGAGAATGGTTACAAGGCGTAGGGAGCCACGGTGATGCGAGGAATGACCATGCGGGGGAGCCACGGAGTGCATGACACCAGAGGAAGCGAGTGTCGTCCCGGAGAAGTATAACTGCACTGCCCAGAATCACGAGGGCATTTCATGTATTCAGGTCTCACATGTGACAACAGCCTGTTATAAGCTGTCCATTCTTTTTGCTGATCCCATCCATCCATCCTTACATCCATCCTTCAATCCACCATTGATCTATATATCATCCATCCATACTTCATCCATCCATCCACCCGTCAATCCACCATTCATCTATATATCATCCATCCATCCTTCAATCCACCATTCATCTGTATATCATTCATCCATCTGTCCATATATCCATGCATCCCACATCCATCTATCCGCCATATATCTGTCCATACATCCATCTGTCCATTGATCCATCTATTCAGCATCCATCTTCAATGCTGGATTGCTGTGATCACAAGGCACAGCAGGACACATACACTGGCACATAATCACACATTAGGGCAGATCTGAAGAAAACAAAGCATTTTTGCATTGATTGGGAAGCACACAGAACATGCTACGGTTTCGCATTCAGGAAGCCCGCAGGCTTATGCGCGTCGCAGGGCTGCGGTGCGAAATGGAGCCGCGTCTGTGCTGGAGAGGCGGAGCTGGCCAGAGCTCATGAGCATGCTCAGACGCCAGGAGCGCGCTCAGTGCTGCTAAACCCAGAGCCCTTACTAAGTCCAGTTGCCCCATCCAATAAATCCCGGCAGGGAGGTCCACTGGCCTCTGATCCTGCCACACCTGTCAATGTCAAGGGGCAGGGGGGTCAGCATAGGGTTGTGTGCCTCACCCCGGGAAACCTGTGTATATGCGCGTCTGTATGTGTGTGAGTGTAGGGACAGCCAGTGGAAGACACGTGACACACAGCCGACTCGGCAAAAAAGAAACGCGTGGAGCTTCCACAGGTGCAGTAATGTGTTGCTTCTGCTCTATTTTTAGGTGAGTCCTCCAGGAAGGGGGGGGGATTTCCTGTGTAATTTTGTGGTGGGGGGGGGAGGTGGGGCGCAAAAGGCCGAGCAGCTGAAAAAACCAGGTACGCAAATAAAATGCTGATGAAGAAAAGGGCAATGGAGCGCTGTCCAGTAGGGCGGCGCTGACGGCTTTTGCCCTTGAGAGCTCCACATACCTCCATGTGGCAGCAGCAGTTACACCGCCTGATTAACAAGCCCGCTAATTGTTATTCGCAGGTGCGGCGCATCTGGGGGACTGCTGCTCTGAGCATTTTGAAGTTCAAAACGAAAGATAAACATACAGCGACCTTCAGCAGTAATGGCACACAGAAGCTGCAGGTGAATGAACGGGGTCATTCTTTTTCCTCTCTAAAATATCTCAGCATCTTTTTCTTCACGCAGAACTCGCTCCTCCTACCGAGATGTCAGAACAGACCCTGTTTTCCGGAAGGTTCTTTCAGGCGGAGGGAATGACTGCGGTTCAGTGGTTGCCTCAGACTTTGCCGAGACGTGGTAGCTAATGCCCCAATGGACCACACGGACTGGCCTTCTGTCATTCTGTGGGGGGGGGATGCAGCTGGGGGGGTTAATTTGTGTCCAATTCCACATGCGCGTGTCACCCGTACATTAGCGGCTAAACATGCTAGAAAAAAAATTTAAACTAGTCAAGGGTTATGCACACTCATCTGAAAGTATTTTACTCCCCCCTTCCTCCTTCTCTCTCCCTCCCTGCTCCCTCCCCCCACTGCTCATTCCTGCTCCAGCGTCCCACCCCCCACCACAAAAAAAATGCTCCTACTCCTCCTCCCAGCCCCCCGCCCCCGCAGAGCTTGCCGGCGAGGTGGGTGTTCTGAGGCTGTTATGACTTGGGGGATGATAATGGCAGTTGTAATATAGCTGGCTGCTCCTGATGTGGCCGCCCCTGCATGGACACCCTGCCAGACCCCGGCCAGGAGCCGCTGGTGCATTGTGGGCCACGTTTAACTGAGCACCCGAAACCGTGATGGACCCCTTTTTTTTAACCCTGACACAGTTTTTTCGGTAGCAGTAAACATTGTTTTTCGAATACCCGCTTTTGTTTTTTTAACCCCCTAATTCTTACTTCCTGACCCCCCCGTTCCTTTCCTAGACAGGGCCTCCCATTACGCCCTGGGATTCTTCTAATTGGTCGCGAGAGAGGAATGTAAGGGGGGGGGGGGGGGGCAACCTCACGGGATCATTCTAACGCTATCACTAAATGGGGGTTATTCAGCCTTTGAACGCCGCGCTTTTGCCCCATCTGGAGGAATGCGTGGGGGGCTGGGGGGCTGGGGGGGGGGCAGGATATCACAGGCGATTGTCTCATGCGGCTGAGACCGTTCTGACCGTGAATGTAGCCGACCCGTTCATGTGCCCCGTGATCAAAGCCGGAAAGATGCCAGATGCAGGTCAGGGAGAAGTGGAAGGATGGACCTCGCGGTGAGGGGTGCCAGGCCGGGGGGGCGACCGCGTAGGTGCCAGGCCGGGGGGGCGACCGCGTAGGTGCCAGGCTGGGGAGGTGACCGCGTAGGTGCCAGGCCGGGGAGGTGACCGCGTAGGTGCCAGGCCGCGTAGGTGCCAGGCCGGGGAGGTGACCGCGTAGGTGCCAGGCTGGGGAGGTGCCAGGCTGGGGAGGTGACCGCGTAGGTGCCAGGCCGGGGAGGTGACCGCGTAGGTGTCAGGCTGCAGGACAGAGAGCTGAGCATCCATCCCGCATTTGACAATTGCTTGCCAGGGGTGCCCATGACCGCCACCCGCTGGTCATAAGTAGAAAGTGCATTGGTTGGGGCCGAGGCGCCTGGTCATGCCAGGCCCCAAGCATGGTGCTGCCTAGCAGCGACAGTCTCTCGGGGCTGAATGGGGTACTGATCCTGCGCTTCCCTGGGCACTTAGTGGGTGATGACAGGTGCGACGGCTCACTTGGGGTCACCTGCCCCCCGGGAAGGAGAAGGGGGTGGGTACAGAGCTGCCATTTCATCCAATCAGGGCACTTGGAGCCTGGGGCAGAGCTGAAGGGCACTGCTGTGAGGAGCATTTTGGAAATGCCTAGAGGTTCCCCTGCACCTCCTATGCTCCTTTTTCCAGCCCTGCCCCCCTCCCACTGAATTCCTACCTTCCTTCCAGGCTTCCCACCCACCATCCTGCATACCTGTGGTTTCCTGTCCTTCCTTGCTCTGTCGCTCCAATGGCACTGACCCACCCTACACCCTACTTCTTTCTTCCTCCTACACTCTCCTCCGTCCTCCTACACTCTCCTCCGTCCTCCTACACTCTCCTCCGCCGGACTCCTCCCCTGCCGCTGCCCCACACCCTTTCCTCTTCGGCTCTGTGTCCAACCAGCTGCTCGCCTGCCACAAACATCCGTTTGAAGTTTGCTCTCCTTTTTTTAGGGGTGGGGAGGAGAGAAGTGGAGGGGAGGGGAGATGGATGGATGGAGTTGAGAAAGGAATAAAGGCGGTAAATCACAGCTGGGCCACAGCTGCACCCAAAAAAAGGCTCTGGGTGAGTTAAAGAAAAAAACATTCAGAAAAGATATTAATAAATCACACGCATACACACACCAGCCTCAGAATAGACATTTTATCAACAAGGAATAAAAATCCTTGCAATTAGTGGAAATCATTGCAATCAGGAGAAAAACAATAAAGCCTGAGCAGTCAGGCTGAGATTATTTTAAGAAACGCTCCTGCCTCCTGCTGATTTTTCAAGAACTGCTCCTGCTCCTCCGCAGCCCAGCGCCGGCCCAGGATGGCAGGGGGACACGGCTGGCAGAGCAGGACACGCCCCGCCACTGCAGGAAGCACCACGGGACACCCTCCCCCCCACACACCCGGTTACTCAGCCCTCGTTAACTTTGCACCCCAGTATCTAATCAAGCGGTTCTGACCCATTAAGCACTCAACCAATAAAACTCTGTAGTAAGAACCTGGCAAAACAATTCAATTAGTCACAGAAGGCAACAACTAGGTCATTTTATAGAGATTCACTGAAGACAGACAGGCAGGCAGACAGGCAGGCAGACAGATAAGACACAGACGGACTGGCAGGCAGACAGACAGGCAGATAGATAGACAGATACACATAGACAAACAGGCAGGCAGACAAGCAAGCAGGAAGGCAGACAGATAGACAGACATAGACAGACAGGTAGGCAGGCAGAGACGCAAGCAGGCAGGCAGGTGGGTAGGTAGGCAGACAGACACAGGCAGACAGACAGGCAGTCAGA